GGGGGGGGGGGGGAACACTGTTTAATGCTGCTAAACCAGCGATCAACTCCCATCTTCTCTCTACCTTTTCTTGTCAAATAGGTCCATGAGAATGAATGAACTGGGAAAAACAAATTGTCTCAAGGCAACTTATAGAAGACCACTAGCACATAGTAAGGAGAACTTGACTGTTTGTCCTGCAGGCAAATTTACCCTATTTAGTATGATATTGCAGCAGGGCAACAAGAGACTCCATTTTGTATCTTGATATGTCTCTTAACATGCACATGATCTTGGCTTCCAGACTCTTGTGCAAATGATCCTTGCTTCAGGAATGCTCACTGGTTTCACCCCTTACTTTCAAGTCTACCAACATCGGGATAGCCTTCTAAACGCCTTACATCCACAAATTTGGCAAAACCACCTCTTTTGATTGCTTCTATACCAATGTCGCTACAAAATAAAGTTGTATACTATGATTAAAAAGTGTTTATTTTGTGGCTGTGACTTATCTACAAGATTCTGTGAATAATGCATGTATGACCGAAAATGATTTAACATAGGATGATTTCCCTGGGGATGCATGAATATTACAAGTGAATGCCCCTTAGGTTGTCCTTAAACCTGCTACATATTCCAGGGACATTCCATGTGAATATTTCCTCTTCTCTAATTATTTGAGAACTGCAAACAAGTTTCACTGTAATTTGCAGCTCATCCCCTCTTAGCATGCACTAAGGACAGAATTAGAATTATCCTAAATAAGAAATGTTGCTGGGTTCACAAATAACTATGAGACACTCTAACAGCTGCAAATTAAAATACACCCATAAGGGGTGAGTTTGCGATGACAGCTTCTTAGTTAATTCATTTCCCACTAACTATATGTAATAATAAAATGTTTCAAAAAAAAACAAAAAAACAAAGCAATTTTATCTTTTAAAAAACTCACGAGTCTTCAAATGCCCAGCAGTCCTGCGGTTCCACACCCAATAGTTTGGCAGCTGTCAAAAATGCATCTGGATGGGGTTTAGCATTTTGATAATCTTCATTTCCAACAACTACGTCAAACAAGTCACGAATACCAGCCTCTGTTAATGCTGTGGAGTTAAATGTGTAAATGAATGCACGGATTATTTAAGGAACAAAACCTTGGGTCCCTTTACTTTGTAGTCTAACAAAATTCGCTGCGGGTATTTGCCGCCTCTCGTGTAGCTGATCTAAGACATGAATGAGGGGAAACTCTGTCACACCTTCCCCCTTCAAACCCCCCTTTCATAACAGTGTTTTAAAATTAATAGTAAATGTCTCGAAATATCTTTGAAACCGTTCGCGATTTGGTTAAACGTGGAATTAATTACAAGGCGTAAAAGACAGTAAGAAAGGATTAACTCCCCAGAGCTTATCCCTGCTTCCTGTCTTTTATCACGTCAAAAATAGTCAGAGCAAGCCGTGGTGGACTTTGACCCGCGCTTCATCAAGCGATTCTAAAACAAAAACGAGAACAAACTAAGTTTTGTAGGGAATCTTTTAAAACCAAGCTACACAATCTTAAGCTCAAAAAGAAGTCAAAGTTATTGAGACAAAAAAAAGTTGGATAAACTTTTATAATTTTACCTTGCTCGACTTGACTTCGAGAACTTCCTGAGGCAACTGCTATGGGCATACCAAGGCGGCGGGCGTCTAATGCAAATCGAATTACGCAAGGTATAACTTGAACAGATCGCAGTCCTTTTAGAAAGAAAGCCCTCTTTCGAGCGTAGACTTCAATCGGGTCTAGAGTGATGCCTTGTTTGTTAGCTAGCTCACGAATGATTTCCCTGCCAGGCACTCCAGCTAGCGCGAAGAAACTTTCCTTGTCGAATTTCAAGCCAGTCTCATTACAGATGGCACACCAAGCACTCCAATGTAGTGGCATAGTATCCAATAATGTCCCATCACAATCAAATATCAAACCTTTTAACCCAAGAGGTAAACGCATGTTGTAAATGTTTGTTTATAAGCGGACAAAACTTCTTCCCGCCAAAAATATTTTGTAGAACCTCCACAAGCGATTGCTCGCTAAGACACGAATTCTTTACCCCAGCCAAATTGCGGGAAGTAAATATTTGAAATCAGTGACCCCGAACTCAGTCCGTAAGAGGTAAAAAGTCCCCCAAATTACGTAGGCTTCATAATCAATGATACTTTGCCCTTTTGATTCTCAGAAAGTTGAGTCCTTGAGTTCTTCGTTGTCACTGATCATGAAGTAGGAAAGCAGTCGCGACGTGATAGCTCCTTGAGAAGGCCTTGAACCATATACAAATTTTAACAATGCCTTTTGTCATGTCTTGATAGGAAATTGTCGCAACAAAATTGTGATCGATAGAGATATTACACCCCACGATCGAGATGTTTCGTGAATGAATGAAAACTCGTGTTTGTTGTCACGGTGTTCTACGTCTTGGAATGGACTGTGGACTTGTGGATTGGACTTTGGACTGTTGGACTACAACAAAAAAAAACTGCAACCTCCTTTGTTTTGTTGTTGTTGTTATTGTTGTTGTTGCTTTTCTTGGTGGTGTTGGCGTTGTCGTCTTTCTTTTGGTTTTGCTTTTCCTTTGCTTGCATTTTTTTTACAGGACTGGCTTCCTGTGAATTTTTTTGGAATGTGTTTTTCTTTCAGTCTTCTGATGGAGGGGTAAATATTATGAAGATCAAGATATCTCTTAAAACTCTAGTACTAAGCCTTATCGAAAATAACCCCCATTAGAGGCAGAGGAGGTTGTAGTGTATTTTAGGTGCAGAACTTGCCTGTGGACCCCATGTGCACTTTATTTGGCTCACTAAAAAGCCTTTAGCCTAGTGGGGTTATATGAATTTGTAGTACATGTATAAAACATATGCACTTCTGCGTTCTCAATGAATCGTAGAAATGATCCATGGTTAGACATACAGTAGGTGTAAACACGAGTCTAATAGTCTGGCATCCTCTAACCCGCAGTCCAGCCCCGATTTTCTGCCAGTTTTAAATTTTCGTGAAACATGACATGTTTCCTAAAATAAATCACAACTGAATCACATTGTCATAGTGACGGAAGGGAAGGTCCCCGTCGCCGTCGGACGCCGAGTTTAGTAGCGAGATGCTCGGCATATAAAACATGCAGGATTAGCTAGGATTTTGTGCATTCTACCACGTTTTTCGATGGAAAACTCTTTTCTAGCTAAAGATAAGCTAGAAATGGAACTCTGCCCACACGCTTGACTACTTTCAATTTTAAAATGTTTCGAAAAGACTGTTTTTAGACAATGTCTGAAAACATTTTAGCCTGCATTTTGTCATGCTAATTGAAGCCATGTCAATCCGTCAAAACCATGAAAACAATGGGACATCGCATTTCTGTATTCTTTTATACGTGTTTTTAATACGTGGAAGGTGGAAAAATCTACGTGCACCATGCTTCAAGCAGTCGACCATACGCGATCTGTAGTTTCATTTCCAGTTTTATGCCAGAACGTAATCAAGAATACCGGAATGATTCTGAATCCCCAGGATGCTAATTTACTTTTTGTAGCACAACGAGGACGCTTATTATTAGAGAGGGGCGCTTTTTAGGGTTAAAGAACCATGAAACTCAGGAACAAAACCAATTGGACACCATGCCATTGGATAGTCGCTGTGAATCCAATCTGAGAGCTTTTCACTCCTTTACAGATCATCCATATGGCTTATTTTTATATTTGTAGTAGTCTGAAATTGTAATAAATATAAATAAATACGGGTAACTTGCATATATTTCTAATGCCAGTATGTTGTTTATTCCATATAAAGTTTAGATATGGACTCAAGGCTACAAAATGCACTATGCTAAATAGTCTATTCTGTTGACTGTCTACTGAATGTCACTTTTGCAATTGTACTGGTGGGTGCGTGAAGGGGTGCTGCGGTACTCCATTAGGGGTGCATATAATTAAAAGGCCCCACTTGTAAGAAAGGGGGCATTGTTTGGAAGGATAGCCTACATCAGGCAGTCCACACCACTGCTTTGTGGAGAGCGATATATCTGGCTGAATTGTAGTGAGATGGAGGGACAGTGCTAAAGCAAATCTTTACAAGGGTCTTCTTGGCAGCTGTGATTAAGGTCGTCATGCAACCCTTATTGGGAACAAGTGCCATGCAATGATCTAAGAGCCAGCTGTGAAGGAGGCCCAGCTATAAAATTTGTAAAACAAATGTGGAAACAAAATACATGGAAGCGCTACTTTCATTGGGGGACCAGGAAATACCTTATTATTCTCAATTTCCTGGGAGCCAACTCTGGATACACTAGGGTTATTTTTATGTTTTAACCCTATTAACCCTTAAGCCTGATTCACACTAGGGACATAATGACAACGTTATCTCGATGTAAAAAGGACGTTATGTTTGTAATGTGAACATGTGGACATAATGACATATGAGCAACATAACAGCTTATGAACATAACGACATAATTGATAAACATAAAACTGATCTTTTCCTTATGTCGTTATGTGGATGTCATTATGTCGTTATTTCGCTAGTGTGAACCAGGCTGTACGTAAAAACCCACAAAACCCCCTTTTCACAGAATAATCTTCCCTTGCAGGAGACAGCATCAACTGAAAAAAATATTTGTGTCAATGTCCATTTATTGTATTTCCTTTATGTTTTTATCTTTTAAGTCTTACAACGCGGCACTTCCTGATATATATCTTTCTGTAGCTAATGATTCACATGATGTCAAGGACCACTGTTTGTGATCAAGAAAAGTATTAAGACCCAGTTTGCCAAGTAAGGATGCATCTTTTTCATCCTTTATGTTGTTAAATATAATAAATCCACGCACCCTGTTGCCTATAATACATCAGACCCTGAGTGAGCTACCTTGTAAATATACAGTATCTTTCCATTTTAATTTAATGCCCTTTGTTACGTTTGTCTTTTTGAAGTGGACTTTATTGCTTTCTTTATTATTAAGAGTTTTTATCAAACTATTCAGAGTACATCAGCAAAACCAAGATTTGTCCTCTCTTGTTCTCTGTATTATTTTTTCCCTTGACACTTTCCTTAACTTGCTTCAGATCTTCCTGTATGAAAATCACTGCTCAAGTTTTATAATTCCCAATAAAATTTGGGCAATATTATTGAAAATTTTTTTTTTTTACAACAAATTAACTTTTTTCCTTTCAGCCATTCCAACATGGCCTATCCAGATTGGTTAATATTCATATTGTTACAGTAGTAATCTAATAGTATTAGATATTATTTTCTAGATACAAGTTATAAGTTATAATCATTCATAGCCTATAAATCTGTAAAAAGCATTCACCAAACTACACTGCTGTGTGAAGAAATTAAATAAGCAAAGCAGTGTAAGCAGGATGCATGGTGGAAAAAAGCTGAGTGCCTGAGTACATGGTGTTACGACCATCAATTTGAATCTCAAACATAGGCTGTGTTCTGAGCAAATATGGATTTCTTTTCCTTTAGAATGGTCAGAAATAACAAGCAACTGTGGGTTTTCCCTGATCCCTTTGTAGAAAACTGTACAATGAATGGATACAAAATCACTTGACTAAAATAGTTTCCAGTACAACCCTAATGTGGCGACTTTCATCATTTCTAGAATATAAAATGTCCAAAACAGGCCTTAAATTCTCAAGAGAAAAATCTTTTATTACAGCCAAAGACTCTCAAAAAAAAAATCTACTGGCATTTTTAAAATTGAAAAATAAGTCCAATAAATTAAATATTTTTTTCATACATTTTTGTAAAGGTGAACCACTTCCCTGGAAACTGCTCCTACACAAACAAAATGATGCATATTAAATTAAACTAGGATATAATCCAAAGCTCCATTGACAGTCAAATCCAGTTTTCCACTAACTTACTCACAAAGTTGTTTTCTTCTAATTTAAAAAAAAATAAAAGACTCAGACTTGTGTATAAAAAAATAACCATCCTTTTGCCATCATGTGTACATTAGGGTTGTAACTGACTACAACAAGTATATATATTGTTATAGAGGGAAGACCATAGTTATTTCTACATGGTAAAGGCTCTATATCTTAAACTATGGAATTCTGTTTTGTGGTTGGTTATCTCTAGTCCATTCTCATCTGTTCTCATAGGGTATCCCTCCATTTGCCGCACATCTGTGACTCTGTAAAAACCTGCTTGTCTGATTGCCTCAAGGCCAATATCCCTACAAATAGGAATTAAAAATGCAAATTATTAAATGGCTTTTTCATTACAGTGTGACTTTCTACATCACTTAATTACTATTGTGGAGTAGCATGGTAGTTTGAGGGACTAGCTAATATTTGCTCTGGTAAAAAGGCCACATAATTAAATCCTTATGTCCTTACAGTACATTACCAATATTTTTGGAGAGGTCAACAGACCTCAACATTTTCTTCAAATTATTTTTTTCTACCTGGGCATTTATTAATCTTGGCTGGAATGTTACAATAACACTCCCCTGAAATAATAATCAAAGCTTTTAGGTAGCTCATTACTAAACATTCAGATGGGTTGAACACAAACAAAGAAATGTATTTTAGTAATTAAAAGGTACTCAGCTTTATAAACTTACGTGTCTTCAAAACCCCAACAGTCCCCAGGGTTGACTCCAAGTCGGCTTGCTGCTGTAATGAACGCATCTGGTTTTGGCTTATGTTCTTTATAATCTTCATTGCCCAGCACTACATCAAACAAGTCCTCAATCCCTGCCAGTCTAAGGGCTGGAATCAACAAACAAACACAAACTTTTGTGACGTTCAAACTTAATCAATACAAACGTAATGTGGTAACAAACATTACGACTGAGACAAATGACAGTGCAGTCAAGTATGGCAATTGTCGTCATTTGAAGGAAGCAACGTTAAAAATGATTGATTATATTTCTTGATCGTAACAGTTGTGGTTGAGGATACTGGCCCTTACGAGTCTTTGATGGGACAAGAGAAAATTTTATGCACTCTTAAAACCTGGCCAAGAATATAAGGCTTTTCAAGTCTCATCAACACTTGTTTCATTTTTTTTCATTTTAGCATAATTCCGATCGTACCCACTGATGCATCTCAAAAAGTTTAGATTAACGAGCTGTATTTATTTATTTATTTATTTGGGATAATTTACTGATTCAAGTATCTCTGTTTTGCTCTTTGAAGAACTCAAATACAACCCTAAGTGACTTAGACGAACTATTCCTTATAATAACGTAAATAATCAGAATGGTTTTCGTGCAAAAATTATCGCATGCCTGAAGGAAGACAAATCAGTTTATGGCTGTAGAAGTTTAATGAAGTCGTGTGACGTGGACTCTAACCTTTAAGTTATCGTTTTCATCTGTTAAAAGTTATGAATAAGACATTAAAGGGGAATACACAACAAATTGAAGTCATTTTACGACCAAAACGGCCTCTTTAGTTTTACTATGCATCATTAATACAACGGTGAACGAACAATTCATATTCCAAAGTAATTAGTTCCCGCTGAAAAATGGGAAAATGAAACGTACATTAACGTCCGATACATTCAAAGAAATCGCGGTGTCGTGCAGTTTTCTTTCTAATCTACCATTGAATCCTGAGACACAAACAAATCTGAAGTCATTGGTCCTATTTTTTCAGTTTCAAGGCAAAAATTTTGGAATTTTCTCTCTTTGAATTTCGTACGTGTTTCATCGAGCGAATGTTTACCACGTTAGTTACCGCCTGGGGCAACTAACCAATCATTAACGCCGGACCTGCACACACCCCCGACACTCCTCCACAACATATTCTACCTCTATTGTCATTAATATTTTCTTTAAAATGCGAAAAACATGAGATGGTACAGTGATCAAAAACGATGAAAAACACGCTCAATTTAACCCTGATCCAATAAATGAAAGGTCTGCCTCAATTTTTTTTATTATAGTCAGGGATATATTTGAGATATTTGCTAAATAAACGAATGCTCACGAATCTTTTGTTATCAGTGTGGACTTTGCCCTGAACGGAAAATAACAAGAGCTAAATTGGCGAGTCATCTTTCGTTGCAAAGTAGTTCTTGCTTCCTTGCCAAAATGTTAGATTACTAAAATCAAAGCAATAATTACTACGTTTTCGCCTGTGCTTAGGACCTCATTCTAGATTCAAAACAATTCTAGCGAGGGTATGTCTGTGGGCGTCGGCCATAGGTTGACAAACAAACCACCTGAATAAAGCGAGGTAATAACAAATCTCGTGGAACGAAAACTACGAGATCCTATATAAAACACTCTCGGTTATATCAGAGCTGGAGTATAAACACAGCGATCTTTGAACTCATTCAAAAGTTCTCGTTTCAACTTCGAGCAGCTAGTAAATTGAAACGTGCGATCAATACAAGCTTAGTTTACCTTTCTGTACTTGAGATCGCGAACTGCCTGAAGCCACAGCAATCGGAATACCCAGTCTATGAGCCTCCTCAGCTATACGAACGACACACTGGATCGCTGAGACAGATGTTAATCCTTCTAGGAAGTATTTTCTTTTCCTGTCGTAAATTGCATAGGGATCGAGTTTGATTCCTTGCTGCTTCGCCAGCACGTTGATTATCTTCTTGCCCGGAACGCCTGCGAGTGTGTAGAAGTCGGTTTTGTGGAATACAAGTCCGGTTTCTTTGCAGATTTTACACCAGGCTTTCCAGTGGATTGGCATAGTATCAACAAGGGTCCCATCACAGTCGAAAACCAAGGCTTTAACTTCTACTGGTATCACTCGTGAATCGGGGATCATTCTCTCGAGATTTTAGTTAGAGTGGAATATCAGTAATGGTGATGTAAACTGGTTGTATTGCCCAACCCACCCCTTATAACCTTTCCTTTCGACAGTATCGACCTAGAGGATTTATCTCAGCCCCAGGTGAGGGCTCTAGATGGGCGAGATCGATGCAAAGTTGCCCAAAACCTTTGAGAGGTTTTCCCTCCACTGTCTTAGGAAAAGCACGGTTTCAAAGTAGTTTTCCCTTTGTGACACATGAAATGTAATATACATGCACATAAATCATGACGTCACTCGATTCCTCCAATCCGCGTTCGCTGCTTTTTATAGTTATTGCAAAATTGTCCCTGAAGACCTGATGGTTGCTATGTTTCTCAACCAGCCTTCAAAATTTATCATCGCTCTTTTACTGAGATCTAAATTATCCTGTGCAAAAATAAAAAGCTTCAAACAGTCTAACAAAGTGTAATTTTCTTCTTGCTCAAAGTAAACAAACTTGATACGGCCGCTTTATCTACACATCAAGAGAAGCGCTGTGTTTCAACATGCGACTAACAATACCGCAGATTGTTCAATACCGGCATTAATCTTGCGTCATCTCTGACTACTGTAAAATGCCGGCTTTCAAGCAAAGGAAATATAAAGCACAATAACTGTTTCACTGAAATGAACTTACTTTTTACCGCAGAAATATAATGTGGACCCAGTCATATTAATCTAAGTTGTCTTTATTTTAACATTTTCGGCGTAGCATCAATCAGTAATTTGAAAGTCAAGGGTAAAGTTCATTGACGTTCCGACAGTGCTTGACAAAATTTACCTTTTGATGGACGGGAGCCAATAGGAAGTCTTTCAAGGTTTGTGAATGTACTAAATAATCGGGCTTATTAATGTATTTCTTTCTGAGAATTTCTCCTGGAAATGTCATATTTTAATTCTTGCAGAATCCTCTAACGTCAAGACAAAGAATAAGTCTAAAAACTGACTAAATATGGCGGTCAGACGTCCGTGTGCTTGCAAAAGTTGTTAGTTTAAAAACAATAACAAATCTGACATTTTATTGACAGATACCTCTGAAGATTGAACAATTTTGATGTTTTATCTACTGGCTTTAGTCTTCATATTTATAGCAGACATTCCTCTTTCTGCTTATCACATTTTCATGTAGTTGCCCTTGAGAGATCTTGAGAATAGAAGCTAATAGATTGCGCTTCATAGCTTTCTTATGCCACACATCCAGACAATCTAATATCAAACAAAACTGAACTTATGATCTGGGATTTATGCCATGGATTTATGATAACACTAAATTTGCATTTCTATTTGGCGGCTGTGCGTCACATTACCATTTAATTCAAGGCTTAAGGGGAGCAGTGCTGCTCTCTGTGGATGCTGGTTGATCGCGGATCTCCTTAACAGGTCTTAACAGTTCTACAGCACCTACGTATGCGGTGCACTTAAGCAGATACGACACAAAATGTAATTCGGAAATTTGTGTGGGTCTTGACGTTCGCACGGTTCCGGAAACGTTTTCCTAGAACAAAAGCTTTTTTTTCCCATTCTCTTTTAACATCTGACCCATGAAATTCTTGTGTGTGGTGGTGGCCTAGTTGCTTTTAAAAAATCAGAACAGACTTAAACCCAAAACAACTCGTGCTCAAATGTATCGCGTGACATACATACCTACAATTGAAGTCGTTTCGCCCACTCGGTTAGTTTGAATATTGAAGGAACAAGTTTCAGGGACTTGTTTATGGTTGTCACTTCGTGTAAACACTGTGTGGGACAAGTCCTTGTAAACAAATTAACTTGAATAATTCTTTTCCCCAAAAACATTTTGCAACCAGTTCCCTCCTCTATACTCTTCAAGGGACTTGTCTCAGGAACTACTTCCACGAGCGCGAATTGTTTCTTGTAAATCTTGGTTACGATTGTCGCCTACGAAACACAAAATGTATTAGGATTTTGAGAACCCTAATACAATCGTAATGTTATGAGATGTTACATGGTGAGAGTTCTATAAGATTTTTGCA